GAAACTAGGTTATTCAAAAAAGTTTAGGATTAAGCCTGCAATTGTTAGAAAAGGAGCAAATTCACATTAACTATTAAACACTAATATTGACAGTTAAAAATCTAACATTAAATGTTAATATTTTTAATGACTAAGGGCAACATTGGTCCCTTTTTAATACTTTTGGGGTGATATCCAAAAAAACACTTTTTGATATTCATAGCTCCTAGGCAAAAAAATTTGAGACAAAAATTGGACATTAACCCAAAAATGTTCATTATAAGCATTGTAAGTATTTGGGTAACCATCAATTGCGTACCAAGTTACCCGTGATTTTAAGCACATTATTGTTATTATGAAACTAAAAACTATGACCACAATTGTCTCTTAAATGATATTAAGCATATATATTAAGAATAATGGACTCTTTACAAGAAGCTGATATGTAAATAATAAGAAAGTAACTCTAAGATAATATATTAAAAATAATTTTTCTCTTTCACTTACCCTTTTATAAATAAGGTTATAGTACCTCCGGTCCTAATTATAAGAGCTAGTTGACTAATTTGAAGAAATTAAGTTACTTATTTATAATAAATATGTGGTCTTTCCTAAAATATCCTTACTAATCAAGTATGTTGGCTCAAACTATAATTATTAGAAGGACTATCTTAGAAAAAATTGAGTAAATATGAGAGATAAAATGTATTGGAATCTTATATTTAATACCAATATAAAAATCAAATGGGGTTTTATATTAAGAAGCGGAGGTAGTATTAAAAAATATATTTGTTACATATTTATTATTTTTAATTAATGTTAGTAGATTTTATAAATCACACACTTCGGCTCATTAGATCTCACAGAAGCATCACAGGTAGTATTAGATCCAAGGCCACTAGTTATGCACAAACATATCTTTTTAAAATGCCGGCGCCACATTGGTAGCCGCTGCTAATGTCATCTCAGAAGTCACACCCAACTTGGGCCTTGGCAACGGTTTTCTAAGGCCGCAATTAATAACTAATTTATATATTAGTTAAAATTAATAAGTAGGTTAAAAATATATTTTTGTTTCTAAATATACTTTTGTAATAAATAAATGAGAAAAATGATGAAAAAAAATATATTGAGAAATATGACAGGAGAGGGTATGACAAAGAAGAGAGAATAAATAATTAAAGGCAAAATAAAAAATATATATTAAATACTAAGACAAAATTAAATTAAAACCTATAAAATAGATTATACTCCTAACTAACCACTACCCATGTGGGGTCCACAGCTATTAAAACTGCTTGCAATTCACCTTGCCTATAAAATGGGTCATGTTGAGATAGTGAGTAAATTGTTTGAACTAGAATGGTGTGAAGCTGGACTTTGGCTCAATAATAAAGGTCAAAACTTACTGAGAAACCCTAATTCCATTGCATTTAGCCTCAAAAAAATTGTGTCTCTGGACTCTACTCCACGTTTTTTCTTATTTCAAGCTTTTTTAGCCATGCAGTTTTCAGCTGATGTGATCTTAAAGTGCTGGTGTGCCTCTTAAGGCAAATAAGTTGATAGAAACTCGAAAGACCCCCCGGGGGGGAGTTTTAGCCAATGAACCATTATTATTCAAGATATTCATGTCGTTTACTGTTGCTATGTATAGTTCAACTTTGGGCTTAGTGATTCTCCTGGTCGTTTTCGCAGCTAAGATTTTTGTTTATGTGGCTATTTTGACCATTCCTGTGGCATTTTTTTGTTTATGCTGGGATTTATCTTTGTTCTTTTCGTTTTATTTGGAACTCGTCTTCCTTTCATTGCTCAAGTTGGAGGTCTTTAATTTGTATTAGGATTATTCTCATTCTGTTTTATGGCAGGATCGATGTTTTGATTGGTGTGATAAAGGTGAAAGCAGTGGTCAAAACGATCAAGCTGATCATGAAATGGTGAAGGCAACAATACAATAATAACAATCAAGTTCGTCTTTTGAGTCGTTTTAAAGCATTTAAGTCCCATTTCTCTGGGAGCTATTATTTATAATTGTGGGACACAGTTTGGCTGCTCATGAAGTTAATCACGGGTGAGTACCCCAACACGTGGGCTAACCCACTTTTTTAATTCCAGTTTTTATTTTAATTTTAATAACTTAATAAGAAAAGAATTTACCATTTTCACTCAGTTTAAATATAACTTTGTATTTTGTTAGAGGTTTCGATTCTAAGTTTGATTTTTCATTTTCTTTATTATTTTATCATTTTTATACTAATAAAAGAACTATTAAAAATAGATTATATGTCGTTTTTGTAGGTTGGTCCGGTCTATTGCTCTTTCCTTGCGCCTATTTCGCCTTGGGAGGTTGGTTTTATATTTGTAAGTTTTGAGATTAATTTAGTTACATAATTATATGAAAATATAAAACTAAGTAGAATTTAATCTATAAAATTGTGTAATTTAATTTGACAATTTTAAAAGTATGCATATAAAAAAATGTAAATTTTTTTTCTCAAATGATGGGGGTTGGCTGAATGTTTGCCTATCAAGATTCAGGAGGGGGGTCTTTTCAGCCAGACCCACATGAGCTCCAACCTGTGACAGGCTGACATGCTCTCTAGTACTCACTAGAAGAGTGCATTACATTTGATGAGCTCGATTTTGACCATGATAATGTTAGAATTTGAAAAAAAAACTCGAGCATAAGTTGCAGCTTTGGATCTTAGTTTTCCAACATATTTTTTTGGCCAAAAGTTTTCCAACATATTTTGAATAACCTCAATTAATATAAGTAACGGATCAGATCAGGTACGCATAATAACAAATAAGAAATAGTTTTGTGTCCGAATTTATAAATATTGATCTTGTCAAGAGTTTTACTAGTATTTTAATATTTCAAGAGGCTTTGTTGCATTTAATTAAAAACAACACCATATGTGATCTTAAGCATATGGAAAACAACTCTTTCAATTAAGTGCTTGATTCTGGGCTAGGAAGCTTTTGTTTTATATAAAAAATTTAGGTGAGTTGGGTTCCAAGACTTACCAGGATAAGAGCATACTTTTAGGTTTAAAGAGTAATAACAGAAGTAGTTATAGATTGCTCACTAACAAGGTATTCATATTGATAGCGGGATTTAAACTCGTGATTTTGTCAATTATAAACTGACTCTTTACCAACTGAACTAACTATCATTGGTTGAAAGCTTTGAAAATATTTACCCTGCAGAATGGGCCCAACTTGGGCCTTTGCTAGCAAAGTTGTGGGCTGGCGTCTTGCAATTTCAGGCCCAAAATGAAACAGCCCATATTATAATGGCCCATAAAGAAAAGGGACACGTGGCAAAACCCTTGGGCCAACGAATAGGCTCTAAATCCCATGGATAAGACACTGGACCAAGTCGCTTTCATTATGTACTTGCTTCCTCCATTTTAAAAACAATATTCTCTTCATTACTTTTTATAAGATTTATTTTAAAATATGTTTTAAAATATAAAAGGTTAATATTCTTCCGAATCTTAATATAAGACCTTTTTAATTAATTTAATTAGATTAAAAAAGTTAGGTAAGTTAGTTAATTATAAGAAATATGACATGTTTTTTCTAAAACACCATAATTATTTTTCTTAATATCCTTCTTCCTTCACTTACTTGATTATGGTTAAGGGAGTATCCATAAAGGTAATTTAGAAAAAATTGATAAATATAATAAATATGTCTTATATTTAGAATCAAAATTAACTTAACAATTAGGTCCTATATTAAGGATCAAAAGAGTATAATCTTTGGTCTCTCAAGTTTGTTCTAATTTTGGTTTTGATCCTTCAAGTTTTAAACCATAAGTTTTGATTTCTCAAAGGGCAAAATTGTTCAAGTTTTTGTTGGATTATAAGGACTAATATTTTAAATAAAATGAAACTTCAAGAATCAAAATCTATGATTTGAAACTTGAAGGACCAAAATTAAAGTGAGAGCAAACTTGAATGACCAAAAATTATATTAACCCAAATATAAACTACAATATTTTTACCAAACAATGAAGCATTTTGTTAGTCCTTCCAACAAAAAAGAAGAATTTCTTCCTTGTTAAAATGTGGTGATATTTCACTAAAATTACTCTTATTTATTATTTTTAGGTATAGAATTCTCATTAGTTATCAAGTTCATTATTGAAAAAGAAATTAACCATGCTGCTATTATCATGTTCCATGCATATATTTATTAATTTTTTAATTCATTTTCTTAACAATTTATTTTATTTTTTAAATAGTTTTCATATCGTTGCTTCTATAAAAATTTCTAGATCCACAATTATTTGTCAATTTCACCCTATAATTGATGCTTAAATGTGGTTTCTTATTTTTTTTTTTCCTCTCTTTCACAACCCTATTTAATGATTTGGAAAAAAAATTCGATTCCAGAAAAGTTTAATGAGTTAAAAAAGAAAAAAGTCGATTTATACAGTGACAGGATGGAATATAATGTTTAAATATCAAAAGAACAAGTACGATAATGTTTAGACAAATTCAACCTATGGATCTATGAGGTGTGGCGCATGGTAAAGTTATTATATATTCCTTCCACACCTGTTCAATTTAGAGCATACCGTAGTTTATAAAAATCTAGACAAATTCACCTAAACTGCATAATCGGTTTATCGTGATCCAATATACTCCGCTCCTAATTATAAGACCCAGTTGACTAATTTGAGAAGATTAAGAAAATAAGTTAAATTAGTTATTTGTAATAAATAGATGTTGTTTTTTTTTAAAATATCCTTACTAATTAACTATATTGGCTAGAACTACAATTATTAGAAGGACTATCTTGGAAAAAAATACATAAATATGAGAGACAAAGTGGATTGGGGTCTTATATTTAGGACCAAAATAAAAGTCAAACAGAGTCTTATATTAAGGACCGGAGGTAATATATAATATTATACCCACATGCGTGTCCAAGAAGGCCATTGACTGAACAACCTTATATATATATATATATATATATATATATATATATTATCACCTTCTTTATTCTGATCATCACAAGAGAGAGACACAGTTCAATTGAATCTGAAAAAACTGGGATCATGGAGGTGACGAACAAGAAACTGATATTGAAAGACTATGTTTCTGGGTTCCCCAAAGAATCAGACATGGAAGTGATTTGCACTGATAGAATCAATCTGAAGCTTCCAGAAGAAAACTCCTCCAAGGGCGCCGTTTTGGTCAAAAACCTTTTCTTGGCTGCTGATCCTCACCTTCGACCCTTGATGAAGAAGGCTGATAATTTCAGCGTCTTGCAGTCCTTCACTCCCGGTACCGTAAGTTTCTTTTTCTATGATCTGAAATTTTCTTCCACTTTCTCTGTCATCTGTTTGGTTTCCCCAAAAACACTAAATGTTGGAGGGGGTAAAAGAATAGGATCTTTTGTAATCCCAGTTATATTTTTCCTGCTGTTAAAATCTAAACAGATAACAATTAAACAGTAAGAGGGTAATCTGATGAAGGATATTCCTGCTTTTTCTTTCATTATTTTTCCCCCTAATTAAGTGGATCCTTCCAACAAAATTAAGACTAGTTGCTTGGGATATGCTGATGTGGATTATGGCATATTCCATTTTTCGATCTTTTTAGTTATTAAAAAAAAAAACGAAGTGGGTCCGTTAAGTTGGTATTTTTCTTTTTAATTTTAAAAAAAATTTAGTGAGTTGGGTTTTGAGATTTTCTAAGACTAGGACATACCTTTAGATTCATAAAACACTTACAGATTATCTATTAACAAAATTTTAACATCTTACCCAAAAAAAAAAAACAAAATCTTAACATTAGTAGCAGAATTTAAACTCAAAATCTTATGAATTATGAATCGATTTCTTAACTCTTGGTTGGTTAAGTTGGTGATGATGTGCTTGGGTATTGCTTTGTGAATCTTGGGTCAAAGCTCACATGGGCTACATCATTCTTCTTTTCAAAATTGGATCAGATTAGGAATCCGATTCGTTGAGGGCTGAAAAGCCCAACTCTACCTGTCAATCCCCAGTTCTACAACGGTATGGCCCAAATAGATATGCTTTGTAGCTCGTTATTTGCTACATATCATCCGCTGCCCCCCCCCCCAAAAAAAAAAACCATCCACACTAGTGCGGTCGTTTACAAATATTTTGGCAAAATCCCTATAGAATTGGGTCTAATTAAAAGAGTTAGCCTCCAATAACATAGTAAACCAAGGTTCGAATTCTTATTGGAAGATATGCTTAAATTTAACGCATGAGTGTACTTCCAACAAGATTGCGACAAATGAGAAAATATCTATGCCTAAATTTAAAAAACAATTTGGTAATATCATTAGTGCAGAAAGAGTCTTTAACACCGGGATGTAAAAAACGAAAATTATATTTGCACTAGTGTATACATTTTTTTTTAAAACATATCAACAGTATGTGTGCCTACACTTTTTATATCTTATACTGATAGCGACGATATAACGAATGAAATTTGCATTAATGCAGCCACTATATGGGTATGGAGTGGCCAAAATTGTGGATTCAAAGCACCCAGATTTTAAAGAAGGTGATTTGGTGTGGGGCATAACTGGATGGGAAGAGTACACACTCATTACGGCACCTGAAACCTTGTTCAAAATACACAACACTGATGACGACGACGTGCCTTTATCCTATTACAGTGGAATCCTTGGTAAATTCATGTTATGGTACAATTATATATGATCGTCGATTAGTCTAATTAAAACCGTTATTTTCTTGATGCATCTAGTACCATGTTACCCAATTGCATTTGATATCTTAATCTTATTTATGATTTAGTGTATTAGATGCATTAAAAATAAGATTACGAGATTGAATGCAATTGGGAGGTAACAATAGTGTTGGGTGCTAGTGTGTCCGATTATTGCCATCCATCATTTGATTTGTTCTTCTGGATTTGTTTGTTTGTGAATAATAGGGATGCCAGGTTTAACAGCTTATGCGGGATTCTTTAATGTGTGTGCTCCAAAGAGAGGAGAGAGAGTGTTCATCTCAGCGGCTGCAGGAGCTGTGGGTCAACTTGTGGGGCAGTTTGCCAAACTCAGTGGCTGTTATGTTGTTGGAAGTGTTGGCTCTCAAGACAAGGTACTCTGTTTCGTGATTTATTAATTATTTAGTCAACTGTCCAAATCATATATGTCTCTTACATTAAGAAAATAAAATGAAAAAAAGTTGCAAGGGACTTTCTTCAAGTCGTCAATTTTTTGAACGATATGGTTTCCGAATATAGGTTGCTTTGGTAAAGAAAAAATTTGGGTTTGACGATGCTTTCAACTATAAGGAAGAACCTGACTTGGATGCAGCCTTGAAAAGGTATGTCTCAGTAATACTCCATCCTATAAGCTTCAAATTTAGAAAAAAATGTGGTCTATTTTATAAGTTTCAATTTAGATTTATCTTAATATTTAATGCATATTTTCCAATATTACCCTTAATTATTTCTCTCTTCTCATATTTTCTCACATATTCTCTTTCATCTTTTTGCTCATTTATTAGAAGAGCATAGTTAGAAACAAAAGTATATTCTAACCTATTTATTATTTTCAACTAATCTTAACTAGTTATCAGTAAATTAGTTGTTTGAAATTTATAATAATGATCAAAGGGAGTATAGCTTAAAACCTTACAGTTACTTTGTTTATTCTTTTTCTTGCTAAGTATGGTTATTTTGCTTATAAGGAAACACTTCGTTTAATTCCAAATATAGGAGCTAGCTAGTTGGAAGATTTATTTTGATTCTAAATATAAGACTTTAATACTTTTTGTTTCTTGAATTTCTAATTTTCCCAAACAATCCTATTAATTGCACATGCTAAAAGGAATTTCATCAACTACCAATGATTAAATGGGGATATTTTAAGGAATTCAATATGCATTTGTAAATAGACTACCTAGCTCCTACATTTAGAATAAGAGGGAGTAGAAATTTCGCCAAGCTGATTATATATTTTTGTACAATAATAATGCTGCTAATAGGTACTTCCCAGAAGGCATAGACATATATTTCGAGCTTGTTGGAGGCAAAATGCTGGATGCAGTTCTTGTGAACATGAAAGTGCATGGTCGAATCGCTGTGTGTGGAATGATATCTCAGTACACTCTTGATAAGCCTGAAGGAATCACTAACATTACGTCTCTTGTTTACAAAAGGATTCGTATGCAAGGTTACAACGTGGTGGATTATTACCATCTTTATCACAAGTATTTGGACTTCATTTTGCCTTATATTAAGGAGGGCAAGATTTCTTGTGTGGAAGACATTGTTGATGGACTTGAAAATGGTGCTTTGGCTTTGGTGAGAGTATTTAGGGGTCTCAACATCGGCAAGCAAGTAGTTTCACTTGCTAATTAACCACGACTAGAGGATATATATTTTCTTCCAGTTTCACAGATTTTCTCGGGAAAATAAAGTAGCATCATTAACTTCTATATATAGAAATGTGTCTGTAATAATGTGACATATATGAGATCACTATATCATAACTCTAAAACTCTGTCACCTACTCTGTTTAAAACTTCAGCGTTGTTGTATTTACTCTTTAAGAAGGTTCCTGAAATATTTATTTTTCTTAACCTACAGATATTTGACATTGAGGATCAATTATATTCTCTCAAAAGGATATTAACATTAATGAATTCATTTTAATTAATGGTTAATATGTAAATTTATCGTAAAAGTTTTTATCCAAAGGTGTTGGGCATCTAAAAGTTTTTTTGGGGCTTAATATTACTTTGGACCTTTAAATTTCTAGCAACTTTGCCCCCATCGTTTAAAAGACTAATGTTAATGACATTGACCATTAATATTTTTAATGACAGAGGACAAAATTATTACGATTTCTAATTTTCAGGACAATATTAAACCCAAAAAAACTTCTGAGCACCAACATTCTTGAGTAAAAACTTTAATTTTGAGACAAATTTGTATGTTAATCCTTTAATTAATTATAATTGCTTATGTCTTTGTGCAATAAACAAGAATTGTCTTTGTGCATTGAGAAAGTTATTAATTGAAATTGTTTTTTTAGTCGCTGTCACTGCGGAATTAGGACTTGTGGTTTAGTTGAATTAGGATCGGTATACAAATTGAGTAACTTTATTACAGAATAATTCAAATTCTTTTCTTAGTTGCTGTCACTGTAGAATTAGGACTTGTCGTTTAATTGAATTGGGATTGGTAAACAAATCGAGTAACTTTATTACAGAATTGTTACAGAATGCATACACTATAACATTACTCAACAAATATTTTATGTAAGCACACGTTCAAACTCCCAAGTAACTACCCTGTTTTTAGTGAGAAAGCTTGAGACAAAGTCAACATCCAAGTACATTATTAAAAGGATTACTTAAACACGACGATGACTTAATCGTAGATAGTCTCCCCTTAAAGATTGAGAACCATATGACAATATAACAGTATAAATAGTACACACACGCACACATATATTAGAAGTAGCTCGGAACAGAGTCTTTATTTCATTTGACTATTGCAGGGTTTAGGTCTTTGTACGTTAATCAGGGAGGACCTTTTACGTTGGTTTGTAAAGTACATCCAAAGGTTGGAAACCTTGACGAATAGTTGCATCCCATATTTTATGGAGACTAAAAGTTGTGGAGCCACGCTCATGAACTTTCCATCCTTCCAAGGCATGCACTGTTCCAGCTATACGCCAAGCACTCATTGCTCTTCTCGGCAGCCAATTCTTCAGTTATTGGAAAATGAGATTTCATATATACAAAATGAAAGCATTAAGTATTATTAAGCATTTTTGAATATATTGAAGCGTCCATAGTTAAATTATATGTTTGAAACTATATGCATAGAGTACCAACCTCACAAGACTGCATGTTCTTGATCGAAGGAGGGACCCTCATTGCAGGAGTATAGTGGGCAGAAGCAACCTTTTCTTTGGAGGGAATTGAGAAAATGGAATGACTAATGAGCCTTTTGGTGCTTTCATCTGTTCATCCTCATCCCATCCATCTCCCACCAACCATATCTGCAAAAATGTTATACTTCCTCTAAAAATCTTTCCAAAAGGAGGAAAAAATTTATTATTATTATTTTTTGCATTTGTTATTTATTATTGAAAGGTTTTACAAAATTTTAAAAAAAGTATGCTTAAATCTTCAAATTGAATCTATAATATTTTATTTAATTAACCTGTTTAAGCTGAGTTTGACCAAATGGATTCACCTTCAGACTGGTAGTTGCTGAAGCAGCAAAACTTTCGTTGGGCTTTGTGTTGAGTCTGGCGTGAAATTTTGTAAACTCATGCCATAGCATAGCTACCTGCAAATAGAATTCGATGATGAATGAATTAAATCAATTTAGCATTTGTCACACATTTTATTAATGGACAATGTCACTAAATTTTGTTGTTCACAGATTTACTTTAACAATTGCTATCTTTCAATAATAGTTATTATTATCATTCACAATATTACGTTTAACTAGCGCGAAAACAGATCGAGTTAGGTCAAGCTTTACCTTTAGTAAGTCAAGTTTGTATTGTAACAAGTTGGCTTGTGGCTTGTCATAGGTTTCTTTAGAAACATGGTAGGTTTAATAAGCTTTTAAAGAGCCTGGGTGCTCTATTAAGTGAAACATAGTTTGAAGAGGCTTGGACCTACTCTTATTTTTAAACAAGCTAGGTTAGGTCACAAGTCCCTAACAGGCCGCCTGTCCTATTTTCACCATATCTATAAATAGGCATTAATACATCTCATTTTATGTCTTTCATTATGAAGTGAGTAAAAATTAGCATTTGAGTATTCCCTTTTTTCCTTCGAGTTTCTCCTCTTCATCAAATTATCTAGTGCTTTTGTTTCTCATTCTTTTTTGTCTCTCCTCCTTTTTGCTCTCGTTCTCCATCATAGGGTCATTTCAAAATTATTTTGCCAAATAGAGATTTAGATCACACTACAAAAAAAACATGCTTTTAGTGGCGGAATTGAAATTTTGTTGCTAATTAGTGACAGAAATTTTTTGTCGTTAATCCATCACTAATTCTTGATAGAAATTTCCGTTGCAAATTAACAATGAAAAAATTCCATCGCTAACCCAATGTTTAAAAAAAAAAAATCAAAATGCCATGTGGCACCTCTACCAATCGCCATGTCATCACCTGTGACCACGTCTACATGTGCTGCCACCTCATCTCTGCCTGGCACTCTGCCTGTCACGTGTCATCACCACATAATTCCCTCCTCAAAGTGACTTCTCCATAGCTAGAACCCAAGACCTCCTTTGTGCGCGCGTGTGACTTTACTAGTCGAGCTGCAATAAACCTATTGACTTATTATGTAAAATTATATACTCCCCCCTTTCCTTATTATAAAAGACATTTGATGCTTATGGCATGTTCCTATATATAAGAGACACTTAAAAGTTGTCTCTGTTTTTTTGTGTTGATTTCCTATTTTACCCATATTTATTGTCTCCAACTCATACTTTCTCTCTCTCCCACTTCTCTTTCTTTTAATAATTTAATTGTTCTCTCTCTCTCTCTCCTTATTAATGAGGGCATTTTTGGGAAAAAAATTATATTTTTTATACATTGATTGTTCTTAACTAATTTTAACTGCTTTTTTATCAACGTAATTCGGTTATTCGTCTCTTATAATAAGGAACGAAGGGAGTATATAATATTATTTTATACAAATAATTATATATACATATATATTATTAAAAAATAAAAATATACTTTATAATAATTTTAATCATAACTATTTTAATAAAAAATACATTTTAAAAAAATATTTTTAATATAATTTTAATCTCTAACGACACTAATTTTGAATTCTAAATCATAAATATTTTTTATAAATTTTTTTAAATTTATTTTTAATTAACATTGATAAGATATACAATTTAATTATATATGTATTATATTACATTATATTATATTATCTATATGTGTTTTATATGTTTGAAGAAAATTATTTACAATTAGTCAAAAAAATCTTGTTATTCAAAAAATAACTACATAATAAAATGTAATAAATTATTCTATATAAAAAATTAAATGATTTGAATAGATTATGATAAACAGTATTCTCCTACTTGTATATATATCTTATGTAATTTATTTTCTTAAAATTCTTTGTATATACCATTTGTTTTTGTATCGAAGACCAAAATCAATCTATATCATGGGTATTAATTATATTATGATTAAATTTTTATTTTTTAATGATTAAAATTCAAAATTCACTTCAATATTAGTTTGTGTTCATATAAATTTATTTTTTGGTTTTGAATTTTTATCATATATTATATATTTCAATATATTGTACATATGATAAGATTATTTCTTTCTTATATTAGTTTGTATAAGAAAGTTATTAATATTCTTATTACATTTTTTAATTATTATTAATAATCAAGATGAATTTATTTTAACAAAATATAAACAAGTTTTCTAAGAAATTATCTTTCTATTTTCAGTATATACATAATGATGACATGAATGATGATGATATCTTCATTGACACCAACTCCACAAATATATCAATTTATTTTATAATTAAAAATGTTTTTAAATCATTATATTCTTAATTGTTTTTATATAAATTTTTGTAAGATTATAATTTAAAATAATGAAATTCAACATTAGTGATGGATTAGCGATTGAATTGTGACGAAATAGAACTAGCAACGGAATTAGTGACAAAAACTTCTGTGACAAACAATTTAGCGACAAATTAGCAATGAAATTTTTGTCACAAGTCTGTCAGAAATTAGCGACGGAATTTGTTTCTGTCACAAATTCCATCAGAAATTAGCAATGAAATTTGTTTCCGTTGCAAATTCCGTCGCTAATCAACTGTTTTTTTTTTTGTAATGTCAATCATGAAATAAGTCCTGATTTTAATTAACCTAATTTATTTAAAACATTTTAAGATTTTTCTCCACCAGCCGGAAAAAGAAGTTTGAGATCAGAAATATCCCACCATTATGCAGCTTACCTGCACATTTGCTTCACACAAAGACTTGGCTATGGAGAAGGAAACCTTATCAAAGTTGCCACGAAGAAGCACCTGACTTGTACCTTTGAGAATGCTATTCACAACAATAGCAGCAGCTAAGCTACTTCCATCTACAATCTTTACCTTTAGTTTTGGAAACTTTTGAATATATAATTCACCAAATGCATTGAGTTCTTCTTTCTGCATTTAATCATACAATTACAGGCTTAAATATTTCAAAAAAAAAAAAGAATATAATGAAAAAAAAAACAGAGGGAAAATGATGTGAACTAACCTGATTCAAAAGCCCTAGACTAAGCACCTTAACACCAGATGAGTTAGCCTCAAGAATTGCCTCTTCAGTGATCTTGTTCAGTCCTGTGCACTGCCCTTTTCAATGAAGTTTTTCAACTGATTAAAATTAAGTTCATGTTGAATTAATTAAGGCCAAATACTTACTTGTTTTGTAAATCTTGGTACCACCCATGATTGAAAATTGAGCTTTTCTGAAGTGTTCCTTTCTGAGACAAAAGTACGACTACAGATCCAAGCCGTTAGGTTAAGAACAAATGTGAAGGGCCACATCAAATGAAGATACCA